CTTTTGTTGCGGCTTTTTTTTTTTCTTCTTATTATTTTTTTTTTTTTTTGAGAGGAGAGCTGCTCTGTCGCCAGGGTGGATGCAGTGGCCGGATTCGCTCACTTCAAGCTCGCCCTCCCGGGTTCCGCCATTCTCCTGCCTCAGCCGTCCCGAGTAGCTGGGACTACAGGCGCCCGCCACCTCGCGCCGACTAATTTTTTGGTATTTTTTGTAGTAGGAGACGGTTCTGGCGCGGGAAAATTCTCTTTAGTAAACTATGAACTGGCCTTTCTTTTTGAGGAGAAGAAATTTAAATTATGAATTTAGATTTCATTATGTTATAGGGCAATTCAATTATCCTATCCGTGAGTTATAGTGTGTTTTTTTTTTTTTAAAGAATTAGACATTTCTTCTAAAGTGTTAATTAATTAGTAGGTTTCATGGTTTGTTGGTTATCCAAGTGTCGTTCTAGGTCTACAATGATTTTCTGTTTCATTCACTGATATTGTTTAGTTTGTGTCTTCTCTATAATGTTTCATTTCCCTTGTACGAGATTATCAATTGTATTATCTGTTAAAAATAATGTGTTTTTTGTTTCATTGAATTCATTTATGTTCTCTGGATTGCATTGATGGTGATTCGTTTGTATTGTTCTTTCGTAGCTTGGGGTTATGGTCTCTGAGGCGTGGATTGCCTCAGTGGTTTCTGAGTGGGGGGGGGATATTAGATACTGAGAGGAGCGTCTTCTTGTTTCGTTCCTGGTATACGTCATCTCTTAGGTGATAGCTCCATTGCGAGGCTGCAGTGAGCTGAGATGGAGCCACTGCACTCCAGCCCAGGGGACAGAGCATGACTGAGTCTCAAAAAAGGGAAGTGGGTAAGGGGAGGTGGATGTGCCTCTAAAAAGGGGCAGCTGCACCATTTGGGTTCCTTTTTTTGAGATGGAGTTTCGCTTTTGTTGCCCAGGCTGGAGTGCAGTGGCACAATCTTGGCCCACCACAACCTCCGCCTCCTGGGTTCAAGTGATTTTCCTGTCTCAGGCTCCCGAGTAGCTGGGATTACAGGCATGAGCCACCATGCCCGGCTAATTTTGTATTTTTAGTAGAGACGGGGTTTCTCTAAGTTGGTCAAGCTAGTCTTGAACTCCTGACCTCAGCTGATCCGCCCGCCTTGGCCTCCCAAAGTGCTGGGATTACAGGCGGGAGCCACCATGCGGCCCCCTTTGGGTTCTTTAGATTGTTCAGACAAGAATATCAGACGCTCTCGCAATTAAAACATTTGGAAAGGAATTAATAGTGTCTTTTCTTTTTTTTTTTTTTTTTTTTTTTTGAGACGGAGTCTCGCTCTGTCGCCCAGGGTGGAGTGCAGTGGCCGGATCTCAGCTCACTACAAGCTCCGCCTCCCGGGTTCCCGCCATTCTCCTGCCTCAGCCTCCCGAGTAGCTGGGACTACAGGCGCCCGCCACCTCGCCCGGCTAGTTTTTTGTATTTTTTTAGTAGAGACGGGGTTTCACCGTGTTAGCCAGGATGGTCTGGATCTCCCGACCTCGTGATCCGCCCGTCTCGGCCTCCCAAAGTGCTGGGATTACAGGCTTGAGCCACCGCGCCCGGCCAATAGTGTCTTTTCATCAGGGACAGTGCTGACGACCCACAAGGGACCCCTTGATGGTTCTGGGCATGGGTGGCCAGCCTGGGCTCTGGCCTTGGGAGAAGCGACCGGGAGGTGTCTCTCACCCCTAGGCCTCCTGGTCCGGCTCCTGCTCAGGCCACAGGCGCGCACCGACCCCCGCGTGCCTCAGTCCAGGCCTCTGGGTGGGTGTTTAATGCTGCGCCCCAACCCAACCATGTAGATTTCAGAAGGGGACTAGGACCCCCGGCCCGGCAGATGTTTGAGACTACTGGCTTCCAAGCGCATCGTCTTGGGGATCTGCGTTGGCTCCTCAACCTCCCCAGGCAATCTCTGTGTAGGGTCGGGAGTGGTAGGTCTTGAGTTCAGCGGGTGCCTGAGATCCCCAGTGCAGACTGGGGGAGGGGAGTGCCCTCTCCGGCTGTGGTTAGAGCAGGAGAGGAACTTCGCGGGCCAGCTGGCGCGGAGCCTCGGGAAGACAGCGGGCACAGCAGGTGGTTTACGGGAAGCGTTGCAGCCTTCGGGTGGGGACAGTGCGGCCGGACCCGCCACCCCCGTCTGCACACCCGGGCTCGAGCGCCAAGGACGATGGGGGACGCGAGCAAATGGGACCCGCACGGACCCGCGCGCCCGCCCCACGCCACGGCCTGGGTTTCGGGAGCCTCGCTTTATTCTGCCTTGGGTCGGGGGTTAGGGGAGCGGGACCTCTAGCGCCCGCGCGGCAGGGGAAGAGGGTGGAGGGGCCGCTTAGATGTACGAGTCATCGCCGCCGGGCTCATCGTGGGGACCCCTGCCAGGCCCCGCGCCCTCGCCCTCGTCGCCGCTGCTGGAGTCGCTGGCGCCATCCACGTCCAGGGTGGGCGTGTTGAGAACGACCACGTCTGCCTCCGCCCCGATGTCCTCGCCGAACCACACGGCCTTGTACCCGCCCTCCGGCCGCCGCTCCTTCGTCAGGATGGACCTCACCGCTGCGGGGCTTCCCCCAGCTCCCGCCGCTGCCGGGGCCTCAGGGGCACTGCCCGGGGGCGCGGGGCCAGGGGGCGCGGGCTCCGCGGGCGTCGGCGGTGCCTCCGCGGGCTTGGCGTCGCTCGTGGGGCTGGGGGCGGGCGCCCAGTTGGCCTCGTCGTCAGGGAGGAACGCCTGGTTGTCACAGCCTGAGGGCTGGGGTTCCTGCTAGCAGGAGTGAAGGCGTCAGCGGGGTCCCTGGGTCTCTGCTGCCTTGTGGCCTCTCCACACCTTCATTCCACGGTGGACACCCCTCCGCCTCCACATATTCCCCTCTGCCCTCCCCTCTCCTGTCCCCCACTCCCTGCGGGTCGCCTGCCCTGCCCTCCACCCTGGGCCTCACCGGAGCTTTGCCGGAGCAGCACTTGAGCCGGGAGCCGTAGTGCTTGTGGACAAGGACAGTGAGGCCAAGGAGAGCCAGCAGCAGCAGTGCACCCAGCACCCCACCCAGGGCTGCCATGTCCACCACTGAGAAGCGCTTGTCCTCCGAGGGGCCGCCACCTGGCATCGCTGTGGAAAATGCCATCACCCCCGCACTGTTGAGCGCCCCAGGCATTCCCCATGCCAACCTGTGCCAGGCTTGAGACACTTGGAAATCACCCAGGCCTGGGCTGTCTCCCAAATCTCAGGCTCTGCTGACCCTGGCTGGAGGGGCCTGTGTGTCCCAGTGAGACCCTGGGCCCCCCCCCACCAAGGAGGCTGCTCACAGGAGGGGCAGGGGCCTGCAGGGTGAGCCGGCAGCTGTGGGAATCATGGGATTCGCTGGACCCCAAATCTGGCCTCTGTCCTACACACATCACAGTTCACCTCACTGAGGGCCTTTGGCCTGTCTGTGTCTGTCAGTCCCAAACAGACCCCTCTGGGATTTCATAGGCCAGGTCAGCCTGGGGTGGACCCTTCCTACAGCATTTCCCTACCACCCAGTGATCTGAGCCAGGGAGGGAAGGCAACGGAGTGGGTGCTACCTGAGGATGGGGTGTTCCTGCTGGGGGGCATCGGCAGAGAGGTTCCTGGCTCTGGGGTCTGAGCTGTGCCACCACCGGGTGTGGCTGGTTGGTGGGAGGTGCTGGTTCCCACACCAGGGGGCATCGGCTGAGAGGTTCCTGGCTTTGGGGTCTGAGCTGTGCCACCACCGGGTGTGGCTGGTTGGTGGGACGTGCTGGTTCCCACACCAGGGGGCATCGGCTGAGAGGTTCCTGGCTTTGGGGTCTGTGCTGTGCCGCCACCGGGTGTGGCTGGTTGGTGGGAGGTGCTGGTTCCCACACCCGGGGGCCTCCCGGGTGTGGACGAGGTTGGTGGCCTCAGAGTTGTGCCAGAGGGTGGATGAGGGCCTGTGCCTCCCCCAGAGCTGGTTGTGGAGGGTCCCTGGGAGGGCACAGGGGGTCTGGGGGCCTCAGAAGTGGTGCTGGTCCAGGGCCCAGTTGTTCCTCCAGTCTCTGGGGATGGGGGCTCACCTGTGGAGGGGGGCTCCTGTTCGGAAACTTGTATCTCAATGACTGTGGTCGCAGTGCCAGAGGTCACCGTATTTTTGGCCTCAACCTGGGGCAGAAAGGGACTTGTCCCTCCTGGGCACGTCTTTAAGCCCCACACCCTTGGAGATGCCCACCTGCCCTGCCCTTCACCTCTGCGTAGAAGGCCCCCGCCTGGGTCAGTGTGGTGGTGGTCAGCACAACCTCTCCCTCCATCCGGAAATGTGAGTGGTTGGTAATTCGATACGTGATGGCCGAGTTGAGGTCCTGGACAGGGTTTCATTGAGCCCCCGGCCAGGCTGCCTCCCATCTGCAGCCCTGACCCACCCACAGAGGGGAGGCCGGGTGGACCCAGGGACCCTGGGCAACAGGAAGGCTGCCGTGGGGGCGACAGGCATCAGCCTTGCGTGTGCTACCTACCGAGAACTCCGGGTCCCGAGCCTGGACCCTCAGAGGCTGAGAGGGGGCAGCTGCATCCTTGACCACAACACCTGCTCCAGCACCAAGTGCCACGGTGCCACGGTACAGGCTCTGGGGGAAGCGGGGCAGGCTCCCGTCTGCAGCCACAGCCTCCACGGTGACCTGGGTCACTGAGTAGCGGGCAAGGTCAGCCTGCTGGCCCTGGAGGCAGGGGAGGCAGCCGTGACTCGTGGGGTTGACGGTGGAGCTGGTGCTGAAGCCTGGGGCTCAGGAAGAATAGATGCAGACTTGGCAGGGGCCCTGCCCCCCGCCCTGACCCCCGCCCTACCTTCCACCCTGCCCCCACTGCCCTGCCCCCCGTGCAGGTCCCTACCTCACCTTCACCAGCAGAAGAAAGGTCATGGCTCTGGGGACACTCCTGGCCATGGTGAGGTTGCCGGAGTCTGGGTGGATGACGAATGTACCGTTCACGTTTCCTGGGAGGACGATGGAAGTGCTCAGTCCCGGCCTCCTGAGGCCCAGGGACCCAGCCAGCTCTGCCTTGCTGGCAGGTGCCCCTGGGGCTTCCCCAGCCCAAGGTGGGGACAGAGACAGGGACAGAGAGGGGTCCGGGGCATTGTTGAGGGCTGGGCCCCACTCACCACTGAAGATGCTGTAGATGATGGCTTGGTTGATGCCGCGGTCTCCATCCTCGGCGTAGATGGGTCCGGGACGCAGGACGAGGGGGGATGGCTTCAAGGATGGTGGAGAGGAGGGCACGTCGTGAGGCTGGGGTGGATGGCCCCAACCTGGCCCCTCTGGCTCCCCATCAAGGTCAGCCAGGGCAGGGCTGGCTGAGGAGGGGCCCAGTCCCGCTGGTGGCCGGGCATCCCTGCCTGTCTAGGACTGTCCCTTGTCCCAGTATCACAGTGAGTCACACCCCTGTGGGTCCCTCACTAACGAATAAGTTGCCCAAAGATACTGAGTGCCATTTGCACGATGCTTGTCTTGACGGCTAAGCAGACATTTAGGAAGCGGGGGGTTCCCAGGGTCTGCGTTTCTGCCTCTCATGTGCTGTTTGGTGGCCCCGGGTACCTTGGTGCTGTGAAGGTTTGCAGACAGCCTGTGTGGGCCTAGTGGTGACTGTGAGCAGGGCAGAGATCTCACCATCCCTTAAGAACTCCAGGGCCCCAGCCCACCTCCCCAGGCCCCTGAGACCGCCTGGCTCTGGGGCCCACACTCCTCTCTGTGTGTTCAGGGTTTGCTCCCTCACTCCCTCAAGATGGGAAAGACTGGTTTACAAGGAGAGTCTGTATTTGTTTCAAAGTCACAACCAAACTTGGCCCCACCCGCTGACCCTGACCCTGGCCTTCTTCTGATCCTGGCCGTCCCTGCCTCCAACCTGCCTAGAAGGCCCTGCCCCGGGCACTGCCCCTCCCTCCCCATTACCAGTGTGTGCCCCGTGGGGACAGCCCCGTGGTACTGAGCTTGGATGCAGACGTAGCCATCTGAGAAGGTGCAGGGCAGGAACCAGGGGGGCCGCAGGTCGGCAGGCACCACGTTCAGCACCAGCGTGGCGGTGGCCGTGTGACTGGGCTCCACATTCTCCTCCGGAGTGTCCTGCAACAGCCAGATCAGGCCTGGGAGCAGCTGGGGCCAGGGGGACCTCAAGCATGTGGGACTCAGGGCTGGGGTGAGCTACTCACCCGCACCAGCAGCCGGAAGGCCATGTTGGGCCGCTCGTAAAAGTCCAGGGGCCGGTCCAGCCTCAGGGCGGGATGGTTTACACCCACCAGGGAGAAGTAGTCACTGGCACCCTGGGGAGGATCAGGGAGGACACAGCCTAAGAGCCTGGGAGGGCGAGGGCGGCTGCGGGTGTCAGTGGCGAGGGGCTCACGCTGGGGCAGGGCGGGCAGCACTGACTGCAGTCACTTCCTGGAGGGTGTAGAACAGAATGTCATCCTTGTCTTTGTCCTCGGCCTGCAATTCTGTCTCAGGGATGACGGTGGAGTTTACTTTAGTGTCCTAGGGAGGGAGAGGGGCTTGGTCTGGCCACACTCTTGGCCCCTGTGGATCCCCGCTGTGGTTGAGCCCCCGGCCACCACTCACCCCTGCCCTCACCCTGGGCTCCCGCACCCCCTCCCCAGCCCTGGTAGCTTTGCTGGCCTCACCTCTTCCACCCTTATCTCCTTGGTTGTAAAGGGGAATTCGGGGGCGTTGTCATTGACGTCCAGCACTGACACGAGCACCCTCAGCTGGGTCACCTGCAGGATGTGGCCATCAGCCTCTCCCACAGCCGCTCCCCATCATGAGTGAGGTGTACCCCTCGACACTATCCTTCCCCATCATGAGTGAGGTGTACCCCTCGACACTATCCTTCCCCATCATGAGTGAGGTGCACCCCTCGACAGCTGTCTGTCCCCATCGTGAGTGAGGTGCACCCCTCGACGGCTATCCATCCACTCACTCGCTCAGTGGTGTTGGGGGGCTGCAGGGGGGCTGCACAGCTCTAGGTGCTGGGATGCAGAGATCACAAGAGACAAATCTCTGCCCGGTGGTGCCTGTCCTGGCAGGACTTACAACAACAGACAAAAAGGACTTTATAAAGCCAGGAGGTGGCAGGTGCGCCACAGAAAAATAACGCAGGTACTTGGGGATGCAACCAGCAGAATCTCAAGTGAGGAAAGACAATCCAGTTCTTTTCTTTGTTTTCTTTTTGGATACAGAGTCTCATTCTGTCACCCAGGCTGGAGTGCAGTGGCGTGATCTTGGCTCACTGCAACATCTGCCTCCCAGGTTTAAGCGATTCTCCTGCCTCTGCCTCTCGAGTAGCTGGGATTACAGGCGCCCGCCATCACACCCGGGTAATTTTTTATTTTTAGAAGAGACGGGGTCTCTCCATGTTGGTCAGGCTGGTCTCAAACTCCCTCCCAAAGTGCTGGGATTACAGGTGTGAGCCACCGCGCCCAGCCGACAACCCAGTTTCTTCACAAATAAATCTCCAAGAGAAAAGATGGGAGAAGGAAACATGAAGATGAACAGAAACTCAGGAGAATTATCAGCTAGGTGCATAACGTGGACCCTGATTCAAACAAACAATTTTTTTTTTTTTTGAGACGGAATCTCGCTGTGTGGCCCAGGCTGGAGTGCAGTGGCCCGATGTCGGCTCACTG